TGTCAGCACACAGCCTGGCGTGGGGCTTGATTTCACGAACTGTGAGATCATGACTTGAGCCAAAATCAAGAGTCGATGCTTAACCAACTGAGCCACCTAGTATTCTTACCCTCACAACTGCTTTATGAGGTCAGTGGTATTACTCCCATTTTATAGGTTATAAAACTGATGTGCAGATGGTCAAAATATCTTGCTCAATGTTCACCCAGGTAAAAATAGGTAGAATCCAGATTCAAACCCAGGTTTGATTCCATCGTTCTTTCCTTGCTCTTTTTATTACTCCATAGCTGGGAAGTCTTATGGTCTGGATTATTAGGCCCCTAGTTTCCCATTACTGAAATCCCCAGGTCTAGACAATGCTTGGATTCAGAGGTAAACAGTGGGGACAGGAGCTGTAACTTTGCAAGTCACAGACACCAATAACTTTCTCCCTAATTTATTCTCAGCAGGATCATGCTGCATGGTCCCACTCATCTGGGACCTTGGTGGATTGAGTTTGGGAATATATCTGTAACCTGGTAAGGGCAGAATTAAATGGTGGAAGGGGGAAATGAGGGCCATTATTTTGCAGTCACACACAGAGGCCATTGACCAGGGCTAAGGATCCAGGAGTACAGAGGCAGCTGAAACATCCAAACTGCAGAGTGGGTCACTAGCTGGGATCAGGCTGGCTATTGTGCCTGCAGCAGGAGAGAAGGAAGGTCCTGGGACTCTGAAATACACCTGGGAAAAGAGTCCCATGGACAGCACTCACCTGAGGCTACCCCTTTGACAGGTTCAGGCTCTGATCCTGGGCTCTCTTAAAGTAGGCCAACCCCACACTTATCACTTCCTTTTTCTCCACTTCATTTTTCTCACCTAAAAAAATGAGTGGGTTGAACTAGAAAGTCAGTAATTCTTTGTGTCTACTGCCTCTCACCTACAAGTTGATTTTGCACACTAACTCTCAGTCTGCATGATCAATAGATATTCTCTGGTGCATCACGTTTGGTTTTCTAGGTTCTGTAAGCTTGTGAATAATTTTTAAATCCATATTTTAAGAATAATTTAACCTGTGTTAGCTCCACTTCACAAATGGAATTTAAACTTATGGGGTGAAGCCACTTGTATAAAGTTTTACCCAACAAGTAATGCAGTCAGATTGGAACCCAAGGTTGCCAGATTTCAAAGTCTCTCTGGTATATACTATTTTTGTACTTGCCGTTTAGAAGAACCAGTACTAATGAATGACTAAATAAGAGAGGTTACCAAAGGGAGGATCAGAAATTGGAGAGGAGGAAAAAGACGGCCTTGAAATGAAGTCTGTGACTTCACATCCTAGAATAGACCTGAAGGAAGAGGAGAGAGAGCAAAGATAGTAAGGAGATAATAAATTTTAATGTCAAGTTAATATGGAGCCAAGAGAAAATGTAGAAAACATGGAGAAATACTGCTTCTAATAGTTCAGAGAAAAAGGAAGTGAGCACAAATGCATGGGAGAACCACAGGTAACACTGCAGGTAAATGGACAAGGTGAAGAGCGATCATCCAGACGCAACCATCAGATGCAAGATAGCCCAGGCAGGAGCTATCTTGTCAGCAGAGTTTTCTAAAGATTTTCCTAAATTTTTCTAAATTACCTTTCAAAGCCTTTCAGAAGTTTGCGCCATAACAGGAGTAAAGTCATTAGCCCTAAGTGTGCCTATAGGGTTCTGTTACAGGTGGAATAGAAAGGCAGCAACCATATCTGTAAATTTTCTGGGAGAATTCTGGTTTCAAGGTTCCGCATGACTATCATTTGTGCGTTAAGATTGTGTGTTCATATTTTGCTTGTGGAGAAGATAAAATTGCTATATCATGCCTTCTCTTGCTAAAAGGAGATCCAGCCTCTTAATTCACGTGTCAAAAAAGACAAATCAGGTATCTTCTATTCAAATAAAACATAAAGCTATGTGTCAGAAAACATGTAAAGAAAATAAGCAGAAACATATGTACCATGAAGATGGGTGCAAAAAACAAAATGCCACAAATTGATCTTAAATAATTTCAGAACCTCACAAAAGCTGGGTAAATGGGGTGTTTAGCAAAGTCAAGGATGAGTTTCCAGGTGAGGTAACTATCTTGGAACAAGGTATGGGAGTAGATATCCAAAAATATCATAGAATATGTATCAGCAGCAAAAAAACTAAATCCATAGAGAATACAAAGGGAAGGTGGATTTCCCAGGTGAGATCTGGGGAAATACATGCTACAGAAAGGAGTGGGAAAAGTGCAAGTAGTGAACTCGGTTGGCTGTTATGACTTATGATAGGGGTGGAGGGGAGAGAAGAGGAGTGGGGAAGACTGAGGGAGGGAGTTAAAAGAAATGTAAAAGAAAGTTTGTCTTTGGGATCCTGATCAGGGCCTTGCTTTTTCTGTTTTAATTCTCCTAAGGTGTCAGCAGATAAAGATGTGCTGTGAAACTGATGTCTCAATGTGGGGTTCTTAGAGAGCCTGTCCAGTTTTCAACCTCATTTTTTTTAAATTTGAGACAGGGAGAGAGAGAGACAGAGAGAGAGAGAGAGAGAGCGAGAGCATGAGCAGGGGCAGATTAAGACAAAAAGAGAATCTCAGGCAGGCTCCATGCTCAACACAGAGCCCAACACGGGGCTTCATCCCTTGACCCGGGGATCATGACCTGAGCCAAAATCAAGAGTTTGATGTTCAACCAACTGAGCCACCCAAGCGCCCCTCTTGTTCAGTTTGGCGGGCAGTGTGGCAGAGAAGCTCAGAGGCCGGTGTCTGGAGTCAACTGCCCGGGTTCCAACCACAGCTCTTTTATGTAATTAGTTGGGAACCCTGGGGCCCACTCAGTGGCAGTCCCTCACCTCTCTGTGCTTCATTTGTTTTATTTATTTCATCCCCTTTATTTGAATCTATAAAATGGGGATAAAATACAAAATCACAGTTCTAAAACCTAAAGAACTTTGAAAAACAGATGATTTTTCACAAATTATTCGGTGGCAAAAGCTGACCTGGACTGATGGGAGACTATATCCATGGTTTCGTTTCTGCACCATACGGTAGATATTCAGATCTCACTGCACAAATAGTAATGTGTTTGATTTCAGGGTGCTGCCCCCTGCCCCATACAGTATGTGCATAATTATTTACTTTTTTAAATCTGAAAAATTCCAACTTCCAAAATACATTTGACTCCAAGGGCTGTGGATCTACAGTTCCCACTTCATAGAGTTACTATAAGGATTAAATGTAGTTATTTATCTAAAACACCTAGAAAAGTGCCTGCCACATATTCATAACTTAATAAATGTTGGTTATTATTATTAGTATACTGCATCCTTTCTAAGGACCCATGTTGTAGCAAGCTGTGAGTTGAGAAGTTGTGGAAATAGTAACAGATACACTAATATATTTAGATGAATGTCAGGGCTCCTGTTTTGAGCCTAGATTGTGTAGATGAGAGGTTTGGGACATTCCTGGAAGACTGGTGATGGTGAGGAGGTGCTTGACAGAGCCCTAGAAGCTGAGAAACCAAAGACCTTTATGGGGAAAAAAAATACAGAGAAAATAAAAGGAGAATTAAGGAAGACAATTTGAGTTGGAAAAGCATGGGCAGGTGCAAGGAGTGATTTGTAGCTTAGCAGGGTACTTCTGCCTCAATACCCCCAGATTCCCATAGACTCGTGCCTGAGTCCTTGTGGAAGGGGACTGCAAGGAAAGAACAAGTAATAGCTGGTCCTGGTGACTCAGTATTCAGCTGGGGACATCTGCCCCTGCTGCTTGGGCCCTGCGGGCAGATGCTCCTGCAGCAAACACGGGGGAAGGACCGTGGGCCCGCACCACCAACAGCAACTTTTCTAGTGAGCATTGGTAGTCTTGACACCCTTTGGGCATCTACAGTGAGCAGAGGGAGCCAAAGAAGTTTGATGAAGAGCAGTGGAGAGGAGGAACCAGGGAAATAGTGTTCAGTAAAGACTACCATTAATCTCTTAGGCTTACGATAGAAAGTAGTAGAAGAGACAAAAGAAAAGAAATGGTTGCTAAAAATAAAAGATTTTGTGTGAGTTGTAATTACTTTGCTTGCACATCTGTGCTTTTCTGAACGTGGGGTGTCCAGCAAATCACGTCACGGCTCCATGGAGCCTCTGCCTCCCCCAGACAGCTAGTGGGAGAGATGGGCCAAAAGACAAACACTTGCAAAATCACAAGGCAAGTTCCAGGAAGGGGAATTTTCCAGTTCATATGAGGGCATTTGTGTTATTCTCAAGTAAGGCAGATGCCATTTTCAAATGTGCTTTCCTTGGCTTCTGCTCTTTCCTTTGGATAATTAAGAGCAGTCAACTTTGATTACAGTACAGGCAGTTAACTGTAATTCGGGATTATGTTAACATCTAGATGCTTAAGGATGAATGAGTCATATGTCAGGCTGTGACAAAATGTTTCACTCTTTAAGTAAGAGATGCCTGATTCTTGCACATGAGTAGTTTCTAAAGCTTAAATCTGGGAAAATTAGATTTAGGAGATTAATCTCTATTTTCTTAAAATTCCTTGTAATGGGTTTTGAGCCCTTCTCTCCCCTCTCCTCGCTTTCACAAGTTGCATAATAGTCTTATAAAATCCTTTTTACTTTGTTAATGAGTAGTTTCTCCAAGAAGACTCTCAAACCAAGATTTTTGGTACTGTAATATAAGGTAGGGAAGAGCCCATGCTTTCTGCAAAGGGGTTTATTGGGGATGATTGAAATCAAGAAAGTATTCCAGGAACTTGAATCCCGAGAAGCCAGGCAAGCATCACTTATGGGAGGGCTGACGGGAGCTGATGGAGTGCAGGAGCAAGGACCTAGCCCTGGGAAGGCATAGGCAATCATCCAGGTCTGGTCTGAAACTGCACAGAAGGACTGAACAGAAAGTGACGTGGTTTCCAGGGCTGTGAGGCTGGGATTTGGACACATACAGGAGCTCGGATGGATTCCAAAGGCAAGAGAATTTCTAGACTGGAGCTTGCATGTGGGCATTTGTCTAGGTGTTCCAGAGGACGATGACTGTGATGATGGAGGTGGCCATGAAGAGCAAGTAGAGGCGGAAGAGCAGGGTGTCCATCATGTGGCTAAATTGCACCCATAGATCAACCAAGTATTGCTTCTGAGCCTTGTAATCCTGTTGGGTCCTTGTTGACCCAGGGAACCCATTTAACTCTGCCTCTCTGGGACCTGGCACCTTCCCTACCAACTCCACGGGCTCCTTCATACCTACAGAGATAGAGATACAGCCATGAAGTTTTCCTGGGGAGTGAGGGGGACGGGGAAGGAGGCAGGGGCAGAGGAGTGGAGGTGTGGGAAGAGAATGTGTGGGCAGTGCTGACTCCCCTTACCAGATAGATGAGTGGGGGTGAGGCCCAGGCCCTTGTTTCCCTTCTGGGGTGTAGTGGGGCAGCATTTTGTTGGACTGGTGCAGTAGAGGAGGAGAGAATGGAGCCACTGAGGCATAGGTGGGGGCTGCGTGGTGGCCAGATGCAACAGGTGGGTGATGAAGATGGTCTCTAGTAGGCTGACCACCATCAGGGATAGACACAGGGCAAAGTAGACACCTGGAGGGGAGATGGGTCAATGTGAGGGCCAGAGGTACCTCCTAGGACTTTCTGTTTCCTCTTTTCCCCCAGGGTCCTTTTCCAGGATCCATTTTCACTCTGACCAGATTCCACTGGTCTGTCTCCCTACTCCACACCCACTTTGCTTTCATTCTCTTGATAGAGGGAGGGACCATACTGATGAGGGGGGTGCCCGTTGCAGGGAGTAAGTCATTCATCATGAGCAGGAAGACGTTGTAGCCCAACAGAAGTGTCATCTTGAATGGGGCACGATTCTCACTTTCTATCGGCAAGTAGAAGCTGAGGGCATCAATGGCAACCAGAAAGCCACTGGGCACCAGAAGGTTTATAACATAAAGTTTGGGCCTGCGCCTGATGGCCACCTGGAGGACGGAGAGAGGGGAGCAAGTGAGGAGTAGTCTGGGAGGATGCTGAGCCAGTTAAAAGCAGGAGTTGATATATGTCCCAGACCAAGCTATCTAGGAAGGAAATGTTACCTCAATTCCCTTTCCCTGTCCTGTCTTTCAACAAAGTCATCTTAATCACCACTGTCTGACTTTCTAGAGTTTGATTCTGCCATGCTGCTTACCACTGAAATGTATCTCATTCCTTCTTGACCCAAGGTGTCATCTTTCTCCACTTCTGCTTTTAGCCCTACTAGTATGTTCTTAGCAGGACTGTGGGACCAGATTCATAGATATCATGTGCATTTTAGCCCTGTATTTCTGCTTGCTTTCTCATCAAGGTCTAATCGCTAGTGACTTTGCTGGTGGCCGTTCAAGACCAGTGGAGGGAAGGCAAGACAGTGGCAGATAATTTTGAAGTCACCAAGATTTGAAAGCATAATATCCCTAAGACAATGTTTCATAACTTTTTCACCGTATGTTTTTAAAAATAAACTTAAAAATTCTTGCCTCTAAAGAGTTGTGATAGCTATGGGAGATGGGAAGCTCACTCTCACTATGAGTCACTGCCATAGGAGCATTGTTTTTTCCCCAGGGAGGATTTATTCAATCAATATTTCCTAGTACCAGGTACTGTCCTAGGTAGTGGAAATTTATCAGTGAGAAAAGTGATAAAAATATCCACCCTCATGGAGCTTAATTTCTGGTGGGAGAGCTTACATTCTGGTGGGGGACATAGTTATGCATCTTAGAGAAGATCACAACCATGGCCCCTGAGCTCACATAGAAAATGATTTGGTCATACTGGTTGGTGCCCACAGACATCTTCATCATTCTCTGGTGGATACCCAGAAGTACCCACTCCCCCTTGCTCCGAATGAGGTCCTGTGATGTATTCGAAATCTCTTGCACTTTCTTCTCCATGCCCAAGAGCATGTTCTCCACTGCAAAAGAGACCCAGACAACTCAGCCTCCCAAATGTTCCCAAATCCCATACCCAGACTGTTGCATTCCTTACCACACCCCTTTCAGTGAAATGCCCTCACTGTTTCCATCTTCCTGGCCTCTTCTTTCTCAAAACACTTTCTCTGCCTCTCAGTTGGCTACTATAAAGAACCTCACCTACCTGTGTAGATGAATGAGCTGAAGGTGAGTGTGCAGTTCTGTTCATCAAAGGGGAAATAGAAGATGTCCAGGTTACAGATGCTGACCACCCGCATTGGCTTATCATATTTGATGAGACCTTCACTGTTGACATAAGCCATGAGACCTGTAGCTGTCTGATCCATATCCATGCTGTATGTGAGAAGGGTGGGAAGGTGGGTACTGTGGGTTCCCTGTCAGTCTTGGCCTTCTTTCTCTCTCAGGTCACACCATTCCTGTGCTCCAACACTGCTCATCTGACTTCCCCATTCCACCTATGGCCATGTTCTGAGGGTTTTATAAACTCAATTCAGACACTACTCCTTCTACACTGAGTCTTTGTGTGCCCCCTATTGGTTGTATCATTCCATTCCTTGGAGATAGCATTTCATTCCTGCTGTTTTCTCAATGCTGATACTCACAACTCCTCGATGAAGATATCTGGAAGCCAAAGATTCTCAGCTGCTATGCTGATCTTCCTGATGCCCCCACATTCCTCTGGGTTCCATGTGATGAATGGATTGTACCAGATCTATAGGAAAACATGATGTGAGACAAATAGGGTGGGAACTTGTTTTAGTCACATTCTGTCTCCTGCACTTTATATTTCTTTTTTTCTCTCATTTCTTCATTCTCCTACCCCTTCTCTGGTAACAGGTATCACGATGCACTAGCAAAGTCTTTCTTCTACTTCTCCCTTGTCGCTTTCAAGGGAGACATTGGCCTCAGCTTTGGAGTTCCTGGGATGGAGCCACTTAAGTATCATCTTCCATGACCTTGATTTATGCTACCTTCTCCCTGTGCCCCATCTCTGCACTCCAAAACTGGCAGAATAAATAGGAAATTTTGTGTTTTCATTGTTGGTCTGGCTCTGTTTGAATTTGTCTAATTTGTGGGTATTCTAAGCTTTATCCGTTATAAACTGCAAAGTTGAACCCAGCAGTGGGAAAAGGGAGGTACCATTGTAAAGGGGAAAAAATCTATCATACCAGGTTTAGCCACAGGAACGATGTCATCAGTTGAAGCTGTGCATCCTTAAGAAACAATTTTCATCTGAGATAATTGCCTCCATGAAGTCAAGTCCAATGCCACCACCCACCTCTTTCTCATTTCCATGGCTCTTCTGCATCACAATTATGGTTTTTAATCATAAACCACTGAAATTTTTAGGTGAAATACTCCAGGGTACGTGGAAAACATAGGTTAGAAAAACAGTATGAAGTGTCAGTGGGGTCATGTTTCTTATGGAGTAGTCCAAAAAGGGACAGATTTTACCTGCTGTGATGTCACTGAAGCATTCCCTGTCATATCTTCCCACCCCATGGAATGAAATTTTCATTTTACAAAATTCAGGCGAGGAATCCATTGTTCACCACTGCTCAGCACATTGCAGTGTTGAGCCAGAACTCACCACTTCCACGATGGCAGACAGGGTGAAGGAGATGTTGACACGAGTAGGGATGCTGTAGTTGACGACTGGACGGAAGGCCTTTCTGTCAAACACTGCTTGGAAGGCAACAGGATCCACCCCATGCCTGTCAAAGCCTGAGCAATTGATGGTGAATGTGTCTCCTCTTCCTGAAGAGAGCAGAGACCCTGTGAGAAGAGTGTCAGGGCTGGGTGCTAGGTAGCATTTCTGCACAAAGAGAAAACAGGGAGCATGGGAGAAGTGTGTGAGCTTCTCCTTCTTGGGCCAGGGAATGTGGGCTGGGTTGGTAAGCAAATGATGGAAGTTGATGAGGTGAGCTGAGTCAGGGCTCCATCCTCAATTCTTTTGTTTCTGTTCCCATGCAAAACTTGTCCAAACATGTAGGCAAACTCAGCCCTGACCACCACTTTTCAGTGTCCTGCTGAATCTCACCACAAACTTCTCCACCTTCATTCAGTGTCCTTCCATTGCTCATCTGTGTCCTTGAGCCATCTGGGTGATGTCAGTGACAATATTTGCAATCACAGTTCTCCTCACTATATTAATGCAGCATAGATAATCATAAATTAATGATGAGGGCAATAATCAGGTAGGTAGTGGGAGGTATGTGAAGCCCTAAGGAAGGAAGTCAGTTTTTCAAGTTAATAAGGATTTACTGTATCTCTACTATGTGCTATGATTGTTCTCATCTAAAACAATGGTTATATCACTACTGAGTCTACCTTAAAGAGAGTTCCTTTTTTTTTTTTTTTTTTTTTTCTAGGAGAGAGAGAGACAGCGTGAGCAGGGGAGGGTCAGAGAGAGGAAGATACAGACTCTGAAATTGGCTCCAGGCTCTGAGCTGGCAGTCAGCACAGAGCCCGAGGCGGGGCTCGAACCCACGAACCATGAGATCATGACCTAAGCGAAAGTCAGACGCTCAACCGACTAAGCCACCCAGGCGCCCCAAGAAAGTTCCTTAATACCCATCTTATACCTAACCCTTTTGTAGTCATACTTTGTAATGCAGAAATAGAGAAATATGTGGTAACATCTTCTGGTAGAGTCTATTCATACTATCTCTGATATTGTACTAACCCTTATCATTCATTTTTTTTTAGTTTATTTATTTATTTGGGGGGGGGAGAGAGGAAGAGAGAGAACCAGAAAGGGGAGGGGCAGAGAGAGAGGGGAACAGAGGATCCGAAGCAAGATGTGCACTGACAGCAGAAAGCCCAATGTAGGGCTCAAACTCATGAACTATGAGATCATGACCTGAGCTGAAGTCAGATGCTTAATGGACGGAGCCACCCAGGTGCCCCCTCCTCATTCACTTTCAATAATGCATGAGGAAAATAATCTACACTGAAAATTTTTACTGAAAATGTTTCCCCTTTTCATGACAGAACTTCTCATCACCTTCTTCCTTTTAGAATTTTCTCTATTCCATTTAATTTGATTAAAGAGAGCTGAGAAAGAATTTTCTTTTCTTTCTTTCTTTTTTTTTTTTAACATTAGTTGATATTCAGAAACCATGCAGTTAGATTATATGCCTGGAAAAAGAAAGACATGAGGAAAAAGAAGAGGCCCAATAGAAACACAGGACAATTTGTATAAAAAAAAAAACAAAAAAAACCCCAATAAACTATTTGTAAAAAAAAAAAATGTGGAAACTAATTTGACAATAAACTATTTGTAAAAAAAAAAAAAAAAAAGAAACACAGGACAGAAGGATCTTACAAAGAGGTACAAAGCTGTCAGTGTCTTGAGTTTTCATTTTTACCAAAATGAACATCCAGACATTGACTGTCTAGGAATAATAAAAATTAGTTTGGTTGGTCTGTTTCTTAGAAGTTGTATGTTTGATTTGTTCTTGCTCTTGTCCCTTCTTACCTTGAAGCAACAGGTGGACAGTGAGACAAAGGTAGAATCCATGCTCATGGAGCCAACCTCTTTCCATCTTCTTCTCTTTGGCTCTTCTCTGAGATAATGTTGATCTCTGGGGACTTAGTGATGATGTGGACCTTAAAAGACCACAGGCCACACCTTGAACCCTAGCTTTGAATAATATATGTATCAGGTGGCATTAGCCACCTCTCTAACAAGCACTGCTGGTGACAAGAGAGTGTAACAGAGGACTACCCCACCCTGTGCCCTAACTGGGCCTGAATCTCATCTCCAAAAGTAATCTGGAAAATCAGTTTGGAGACGGGGAGGAAAAAATATTTGGTCACTGGAGCAGTGCTAATGGTCTGTTCATACTTTAGAATCACTAAAGTGGCATGCAATGCATCATCGACAAGGCACATAATAATTGCCATTGCTTTCAAGTGGCACACGCACTTATATTAACCTTGCTACCATCTTTCAGAAAAACTGCCTCCTTTTTATAATCAGCTTCAGAGTTGAGGTTTTAAACATGACTTCAGTACTGGCAAGTCTTAGCTTTTGATTTTTTGAGTGTGTCAAAAGCAACCCAGATCTCCTGGATGGAGGGAGTGATCAGTGAGGTAGAGGGGAGGGTGTAGAGGCAATGCTATTTTTAGTAGAAGTTGACTGATGAGAATATGAGAGGAAAGCTTGCAAATTCATGTTGTTTTGGCCCTGCTGGTATTTATAAGAAATTAGTTGTCAACATATTAAAAATTGGAAGATTTCATGCAAAACCTGTATTTCTGGCTTCACTTGAAAAATAAGATCAGGCAATACCGGGTTCATGTTTTTGCTTGGCAACAATCTGCCAAAGTTAATGGTTGTGTCATTTGGATGGAGCATTTTCTCTTGATCATCACAGTCTCTGTCACCAACTATTGATTATTCCTGACCTGCTCCCCTCATTTATGTTACCTGCTTGTCCTCTGTAGGTGTTTGAATTTGCCTCTGAGTGTTAAGATTTACTTTCTTGGGTAATTTTAAAAGAGCCTTGGGAAGTAATTTCAACATACCATGCCATGCCTAGGTGATCACAGATCTTGTCAGATTTAGCATGTACAAATATTGATTCATGGTGGAAATGAAGCATGATATGGTTAAATGGGCCAGAGTCATCAGGAAGGTTTAACCTCTTTTATTCTGGAATTATTTCATTAGAGAAGGCTCCAGAGAGGGTCATGAGTGGTTTAGAGGGCAAAGAGAACAATTGCTTCAGTGAAGAAGCTTTACAGACTGAGCTGGAATGATATAGTAACAAAGGCTTTCCTATCTCTAATATTGGGGTTTTATGTGGTTAGAGATAATGTTTGTGTGGTACCTTCCCCGTTCTAAGCAATTACTAAATTGGAGCAGAAATAACAGTAAAAGCGGCAATAATAGTAGCTGTTATTGTTACCCTGGCTCTTTTCAGATTGCTCAGGTTGTTTCAGCCTGGATGGAATCTTCTGGACTTAAAATGTCTGGGTTGACTAAAGCAACCTTGGCTGCTGTGGGCATCAGTCTTTTCTCTCAGCCTCACTCAGCTTTAGGTTACCATAAGGGTCATCCCTCACTCTTCAGAAACTCTCTTCATCATTTAAGAATCCCTTCTCCTTTAGGAAGTTTCTTTCTTTTTTATTTTTAAGGACCTTCCTTCCTTCCTTCCTTCCTTCCAGAGAGAGAGGGAGAAGGTGCAATGAGCAAGGGGCAGAGAGAATCCCACAAGTGGCAGAAAGAGAGAGAGGGAGAGAGAAAAGTGGGGACTCACCCAAAGCGAGGCTGGAGGTCACTCAAAGTGAGGCTCAAGGTTGCCTGATGTGGGACTTGAACTCATGACTGTGAGTTCATGACCTGAGTCAAAGTCAGATGCATAACAACTGAGCCACCCAGGCATTCCTCCCTTAAAGGTGACTTTAGATCAGTGTTTCTCAAAGCATTTTCTTGCAGAACACTAGTTCTACTGGATGTTAAAGTCTTTTTTAAAAAAATTATTTTTGTTATTTCAATTTCAGAGAGGCCTTAGGAATGATGAATTAAATAAGGCTAATCAGGTTTTATTATTATAGGATTTCTCAGAGTATTTAGCTAAAATGGTAAGGTGACTTGAATATCATATATATATAATTTCCCAGACTTAGCTGAGTTTGGGAATTTCTTTTTCTCAGAATATCTTGCAGGACTAGTACTTCATCTATTATTTTGGGGAAACACTGTTTTAGGTGAATAGACTAAATGTAGAAGAAAAAAACTTAAAAATTCTATAGCTAGGGTATAGAATGCAAACAACATATTTATAAATCAATTAAGAAATTAAAAAAATAAACTAGATAAGTACTCTTTAAATTTTTTAAAACTTTATTTATTTTTGAAAGAGAGAGAGCAAGCAAGCGGGAGAGGAACGGAGAGAGAGGGAGACACGGAATCTGAGTCAGGCTCCAGGTTCTGAGCTGTGAGCCCAGAGCCCAGCATGGGGCTCAAACTCAGGAATCATGAGTTCATGACCGGAGCCAAAGTTGGATGCTTAATGGACTAAGCCATACGGGTGCCTCAATAAGCATTTTTAAGGTAAGTATTCTAAAATTCTTTTAATGCTTATTTATTTTTGAAGGAGAAAGAGACAGAGCATGAGCAAAGGAGGGACAGGGAAAGAGGGAGACACAGAATCTGAAGCAGACTTCAGTCTTTGAGCTGTCAGCACAGAGACCCACGCAGGGCTTGAACTCACGAACTGTGAGATCATGACCTAAGCCGACTGAGCCACCCAGGCGCCCCTTAGGTAAGTATTCTAAAACCTGAAGTTTGTTTAGAACTGTAAGAACCTACAAGCAAATGGATAGATACAATATCAAGCTGTTTCAGATTCCATGAGCAATATAAACTTAAGGCTGACTTGAAAAGGAATCTCTTTTCTTTCTTTTCCTTTAGATCAATGACCTACCAGTTGTAGATCACAGGTCATCCACCTAGATCCAATTTTAGGATGAGAGTTTAAAAACTGTTGGCGGGCTCAGTAAGTGGAGCATGTAACTCTTGGTCTTTGGTTTGTGAGTTTGAGCTTCATGTTGGGCGTAGAGATTACTTAAAAAATAAAATAAAATCTTAAAAAATAAGTAAATAAAATTAAAAAAAAAACATGCTTTGGTATTGTTACTTCAGAAGGAGAGAGAGAGAAAATCTCGAGCAGGCTCCACGCTCAGGGCAAAGCCTGATGTGGGGCTTGACCTCACAACGCCAGGATCATGACCTGAGCCAAAATGAAGACTCGGTCGCTCAACCAACTGAGCAAGTCAGGCACCCTCAACAGTAACATTTTAGTAGCTAAAAAGCAATGCTGATTTTTCTCATTGGTGGTCTTATAATCAATCAAGTATATAATTTGTGTTTTAAGAGTACATACTTTTTCCTCATGGTATTCAATAAATGAGTTACTTTGAGTGAAAAATAAATACAGCCTTTATAGATTTCTAATTTTCCTAAACAAATATTCATGCCAAAAATGTTATCACAAACATAGACTGACGTGGTTTATCTCTTCTCATCAGAAGCCCATATTTATAAAAGCAAAAACACGTGAGATGTTTTGAGGAGTGACTGGGAGTGACACCTCCAGCCTGTGACAGCCTGTTTTAGAGAGAAGGCTCCATTTTGGCTGCACTCTTTATTGGTTTGGCTCCCCTGGCTTAGTGGGACCCTGTTGCCTCCCGTGTTGTGGTCTGACAGGTGCCCATTCGGTACTTCTCAATAATGTGGGAGAATCCCCCCTGCACATCTTACCAGGAGAGGCGTCAGACATACTGTATGATTTTATTCAGTTGAGTAAGTAACCATTAGTTGTCATTCTGGGAGGTTTAAAATCTCAATGCCTGTCTATGGGCTGTGATGCTTATTTTAGCTGAGCAGATTTAGATGGTGGAAGGAACAGCTTAAGTAAAAACATGGAAATCACGGTGTTGTGAGGACCTCAGATTTGAGTAGGAGAGGAACAGGAAATGAAGCTGTGGTATTATGTGGGGCCAGATCACAGAAGGCTTTGTATACTTAGCTGAAATTTGGTTTTATTCTATCACTCAGTGGTTCCCAAAGTTGAATAAGGTTCAGATCTCTTTTAAGAGAAACAAGGGGTGTCTGGATGACTCAGTTGGTTGAGCATCCGACTTCAGTTCATGTCATGATCTCATGGTCTGTGAGTTTGAACCCTGTGCCGGGTTCTGTGCTGACAGCTCAGAGCCTGGAGCCTGCTTCAGATTTTGTGTCTCTCTCTCTCCCTGCCCCTCCCCTGCTCCCGCTGTCTCTCTCTCTCTCAAAATAAATAAACACTAAAATTTTTTTCAATTCCACATATGAGTGAAATCATATGCCATTTGTCTTTCTCTGACTGACTCATGTCATTTAGCATTATACCCTCTAGATTCATCCATGTTGTTGTAAATGACAAGGTTTCATGCTTTTTTTATGGCTGGGCAATATTCCTTTATATATATATGTATATATATGTACATATATATATAAAGGGGCCCCACTCAGGCACCCCTATTTTTAGTTTTTTGAGGAAACTCCATACTGTTTTTCACAATGGCTGCACCAGTTTTGGAATTGTTGACATATTAAATCCTTTTCTCTTTTCTGAGTTGCCAAGGGGGCACCTGAATGGCTCAGTTGGTTGAGCCTCTGACTTCGGCTCAGGCCGTGATCTCACAGACGTGAGTTTGAGCCCCACATCAGGCTTGCTGCTATCAGTGTGGAGCCTGCTTCAGATCCTCTGACTGCCCCCTCCCGCCCCTCCTTGGCTCCCTTTCCCTCTCAAAAATAAACATTTAGGGGCGCCTGAGTGGCTCAGTCAGTTAGGTGTCCAACTTTGGCTCAGATCATGATCTCATGGTATGTGGGTTTGAGCCCCACACAGGGCTCTGTGCTGACAGCTGAGAGCCTGGAGCCTGCTTCAGATTCTGTGTCTCCCTCTCTCTCTGCCTCTCCCCTGCTCACACTGTCTCTCTCTCAAAAATAAGTAAACATTAATAAAATTTTTTAAGTTGCCAGAGACTCTTAAAG